TCATCATGGCCGACGCCAATCCGCCAAAACACGTTTGATGGGACGAGATAACACCTGAACTGGATGAGACCAGATAACAATCGGTGTGTTAACGTTCATATTTTCCACGCCCGAATGGAATCACCTTGAACTCTCCTCGAACTACGCGCGGAACTGCGCGCAAGCGTCGGCCATGATGAATATCGCCGACGATGGAGCGACTCCTCTAACAAAATGTTCACCTGTGCCGTAGTATCGTTTTTGAAGCGGGAAGCTTAAAAAAACGCAAATTTCTTGCGCAGATTGTGAAGTTATGAGTGCATTTCAGACTTTGCCGATGCGCTCATCGTGATTTTTGAGGCATTATCTACAAGAAACAACTCTTATTTTTGCTCTAGCAAAAGTTTGCAACAGGCCCATTGTAACGATTCAAAATCTCGGATTGGGTTTATTAAATTCATTTTTTTAAAATGAGGTATGAAATGAGCGAAAATATTGCGTCAAAAGTCCCTCGCCAAGTTTAGCCCCTTTTTTTGTATACCCGAGTTGGTCAACGGGACAAGGCTCCAATGAAAGCTTATGGTAAGGCAAACTTCCATGTGAAGTATCAACTTTAAGTGAAACTTTGTTTAGGCTGTACAGCGTTGCCAAGTTTCCATTTTTATGCGCTATACTCAAGGAATACTGAATCATCATGGTTCAACAGGCTAGTACACCCGAGTTGGTCAACAGGACAAGGCTTAAACGAAAGCTGATGGTAAGGCAAACTTCCATGCAAAGTTTCAACTTGAAGTTAAACCTCGTTTAGGCTGTACAGTGTTGCCAATTTTCCATTTTCAAGATGGTAATATCGAGGAATTCTGGATCATCATGGTTCAACAAACTAGTACACCCGAGTTGGTCAACGAGACAAGGCTCAAATGAAAGCTTATGATAAGGCAAACTTCCAGGTAAAGTTTCAACTTGAAGTGAAACCTCGTTTAGGCTATACAACGTTGCCAATTTTCCATGTTTATGTGCTAAAATCAAGGAATTCGGGACTAGAAGTCCAGTGCATCATAATTAAACAGACTAGAGTCGTAATGTTTACCCCATACTCATCAAAGTTATAGCCCGTGAAGGTACGTTTTCCGCCAAAAATCTCGAAAATACCCTAATTTTATGTTTAAAAAATTAATAATAAATTGGCAACACTGCTCCGAAACGTTCACGATGGCCTTTGGTTGCGCTTCTATTCGATCTCAGGGTAGTATTTAGCTCGTAGACCAATGCACTAGTCTGTTCATTTATGATGCTATGGACTATTAGTCCCGAATTCCTTGATTTTAGCACATAGAAATGGAAAATTGGCAACGTTGTACAGCCTAAACGAGGTTTCACTTCAAGTTGAAACTTTTCCCGGAAGTTTGCCTTATCATAAGCTTTCATTTGAGCCTTGTCCCGTTGACTAACTCGGGTGTACTAGTTTGTTGAACAATGATGATCCAGAATTCCTGGATATTACCATCTTGAAAATGGAATATTGGCAACGCTGTACAGCCTAAACGAGGTTTCACTTCAAGTTGATACTTTACATGGAAGTTTGCCTGACCATAAGCTTTCATTTGAGCCTTGTCCCGTTGACCCACTCGGGTATACAAAACGGGGCTAAAAAACACCACTTTTTGGCGAGGCTCTTTCCAGAAGACCCTCCGGACCTCTCTCTGCAGTTGGGAGAGTGCTTCCAGATCCTTCTTAGCCCAATTTCTACATTCTCCTGTGCCCCTCGACAGAAAATGTCTAGTTCCGTTCATGGTTCCTTTTGGAGTACCAGTGGCGTGGCGTGCTTTCCGATATATCGATTAATCTGCTATGGAAAAGGATCGATAGACAGGGTGTTTGCAGCGAACGCCTTAATGATCGATTCCTTAGCATAGCTTCAAATGGGAAAATATCGATAATCGATTGCTCACGCCTAGCCACTGTGGAGTACCTGTATACGGGAGAGCATTGCCATCTCAATCATTTTACTACAGAAAAAATATGCCGCTCTCTGATTGGTCGGCTATCATGGATTCATGGAGCCCCGAAATTGGCCCAATGTAAACAAACCCCAGCCCAGCCGGCCAGCCCCTCCACTCATAGTTTGCCCCAATGTAAACAAACAAGATGGCGACGAAGTTCTACAAAGTTCTGGGAGTGATTTTGGATGTGATAAAAATTTCTTTATGATCTGCTTCTGAATTAAGTTCTAAAAAGAAACAGAAATTATGCGACGATCACTTCAATATCGCGGGAAATGCGCGATTTTTCGGACGGTCTGTAAAATCTTTATATGTTAAGCTTATTCACTTCAATACCAAGCCACAACTCTGAATTTTCCAGCGGATACTTAGGATCACATACTTTAAGCCACACCATTATCACCTCATTATCGCGAAAAATGCGCGACTTCTATGTCGATGCGCGCAAGTTATTCATAAACGGCGATAAACTTCGGATCGGCGAAAACCTATGATTTTCCTTCAATTTCGCATGATACCACATACCTACTCCGGAGTTCGAATAGTTGCTTGTTTGATTTACGGCTGCGCAAAAGTGAGTACGAAATGACGCGAGTTTCATCGTCTGGAACTGCATCATTTTTTGCGAACATACGGCTTTGTCTCGTTTTCATAAAAATAAAATGACTTTGCCTGTTTTTCACTGATTTCATCTGAAAAAGATTAGACGAATTTTGAAGGAAGCTCGATTTCAATAATTTGACAGTTACGGCTTCCTTCACTAGCACGGCAAAATTACGCACCTCGTTTGCGGTGTTCGAAAATCCCCTCTCCTTTTTAAAGTCCTTTTTAAAGGAGAGCAAATCGACAGTATTCCCTGAAGTTTTCACAGAATTTTCTTCGCACAGGTAAGAAAAATCACAGCAGTTTTAAAGAATTGCCGATGAGTAGTTTTCCATTTAAAAAATCAAGTAATGAAGTAAAGTTTACAACGTTGCAAACCAAGGAACGTGGATGTAGACATTTGCACCGTCGATACCTCAAGATTTTGCATTATGAACCGTACAGGTTTTTTTTTTTTTTTTTTTTTTTTTTTTTTTAGTTAAAAAATTATAGAACTTTAATGGATTAATATATTACTTAATTTTATTATTTATGTTATCCAGCTCAAATTTTGCGTGAAATTTTCCGTAAAATTAACACCAAAAAAACATAATTTTTCCGAGAAATGCGTCACATTTGACTTGAATGTACAGGATGTATTAACCAACCAGCATAACTAACAGTGTTAAAGCAGAGCCTGCCCTCCATCTGACTTAATTGTCAATTTTTCTATCCCTCCCCCTCCCCTTTTTTTCTATTTATTCCTCATTTTAATTTCCATTTCTTTAATGATATTTATTTTTTGTGTAAAATTTTAATGACATTTAACTGTAAGACTCCATCTGTCACAAGGCTTCTTTGCCTTATTATTTAGGTGCCTTTTCTCTATTTCTTCTATTCTGTTACCACAAAAGAAATGGGGAAAAAAGGATGATAAATGATTTAAATATCAATATTATTACCTACAGCAAAGTCACTCAACTACAAAATGTATGCTAATAAATGTGGGAAAAAATTATGCAGAAGTTCAGGGTGTATAAAAATTAGCACGGCAGATTATGGTGGGGTAATATCACTGATATCGATGGCTAAAATGCATAATCACGTTTCACCATTGCAGTATTTAGAAATTTTCACACCAACTTTATATTTTCGAGGTAAAACAAGCCAACTTTAAGTATACGTAGCTTGAAAAAGTACATACAGTCTTGAGTCATCTTTTCAAGTATTTTCTCTAGCTTGAAATTTATACAGGATATCCTGCTTCCAGCGAAGAAAAATCAAGGAAATTTTTCAGAAGCTACATTATCTAGTTTTCCAAAGAAAAAATAAAATATGACAGAATGTCAGCAACATCGCAAACAGAGATAAGTGGTTTAGCACTTTGGCCATGTTTGCTTGGTTTATCGCTCAATCAGTAGGTTTGCCTTGCTTACTTACTTGCCTACCTACTCATCTGATAATAAAAAAATTTGACATGAAATAGTGAAGGACTAACTCTATATTCTCTATAGTAAACTATCCAATAAAATTAACAATTGAACTGTTGATTATCAGTTTCTTTTATTGTTATTTATTGCTGAAAAGAAAACAGAATTGGAGGGACCGACTTCCGCTTCTAAGAAATTTACTTAAGTAATTTGGCTGAATTTCCTTTGGAAGCTGATGCTCTGGTGGAAGCCTTTTTTCCCAACATGCAAGCTTGCACCAGAGTGGTCGTGAACAGTGGCTGTTAGCGAGGCCATACTGATATCACTAACTTGAGGCACAGACACCACTTATCGTATCGCTGGGCCCTCCTGTAAGATACCGGGTCTCTACCTGTGAGCCTCACTGAAACTGTTGCCACTGTGAGCATGGGTGTTTACTTTCATGAAAATACTAGAAGTGGAGTTTAAAACAGTTCAATATTCCCTATACTTTAAGTAAGTGATGAAATCACAAGCACTAAAAGAGAAAGTGATTCGGCGAGGCTGCCTGTCCCTGCTCTAAAAATAAGTTAAATCTGAGTTTCCACACGGAATGAACATGATTGACGTCAGTTTCCTGAGCTCCGCCATTAATTCATTAAAAGAGAACAGATTTTAGGCCACATGAGTCCTGAAATATATTCGAAAAGCACTTAAAGACTCGTCTGAAAATGTGCATGCACCTGTTCCTTTAAAACATGGGTTCAACAGTTGTTATCAAGTGGTGCAATACAAACTGTTGGGCGAGAGAAAGCGGTGAAAGAAAGGAAAGAAGAGGAAAGAGGGACAACTTACAATCAATTTAGAAGTCAAATAATCAACATACCTTTGAGAGAAGATCTGGAGGATGTGTCAGGAAACGTGTGGAAGTTCACACCATTATCAGTAGGTAACTAGGCACAGTCAGGGTACAATAACACTTGTCACTTGTGAATAAAGAACTCATTCAGTCATTCACTAAGAGAACAGTCACATGCATAATTCGATGGAATTATCAGATCAAGACGGATTACTCAGAAAATAAAACGACAAAATTAAAAGTGAGGATGGAACCATGGAACACAAAACCGCCAAGATTCCGCAGAAGATAAGAAGTAAACAAAGTTGCGAACTGGTGCAAACTGCAAACACGCGTGGGCTCGGTGTCGGTGTTGGTCGGCGGTGTCCGGTGCTCTGGCGGTGCGAACGGTGGCAGGGGAGGGGAAGTGCAACGCAGTGTTGTCAAACCGGAAAGATAATGTTGTTTTAATGTTGCCGCACCTCAACCACACTTCCAATCAATATAATAATACACAATTTGCTGATTTTTTTAGCACAATCAAACTGGAGGCGAAAATTAATTTAAAAGGGATCACAAAATTTCCACATTTTCCAATGTTCAGATTTTTAACAGAGCTTGACGGACGTTGGAGTGAGAGAACTTCAGAAGGAAATGAAAAACGGAAAAACAATTTCAAAATAAAAATCCTCGAAGCTCTGCAGTTTTTCTCCGTTTTTTCTTTTACTATTTTTACATTTTTCACTGTTTTTCCGGTTTTAACATTTCCTTTGGTTAGGAAAGGATTACAAGTGGGACTCTCTGAACTTTTCTTTTTGCCACTTTCTGAACGTCCGGAGTGTGCCAAAGCTACTGGGAATTTTTTCAGATTTTTTGATCAACCCCAAATGGCAAAGAAACCTCGTCTTGAAACTGCCAAAAACCGGATCCGTTTGAAGCGATATTTTTGGCGGGCTCTAAAGAAATGGCCAGGCGGCGGAAACGGCGTTCACTGATTGACTGAAGTCAGTTTCACGCAACGCCTTGCTACGTCGCAAAGAGAGCAGTGCTGCCATACTAAGGATAAACGCCGTATGAACCTTCAAGCGTTGCCAAATTTCCTTTGGTAAATCACGAATTTCCGGGAAATTTTTTGAATATTTGTCTATTAATTTCTCAGACAATTTGTTTTTTTTTGTAATTTGATTAAAAACTTCGGAAATTTCAAGGAAAAATATTCATGATTGTTCCAGAAAATAAACATTTTGTCGAAGGAAATTTGGCAACTCTCGAATGTTCATACGGCGTTATTCCTTAGCACGGTAGAGTAGGTAGGTGTCAAATTTTCGAATTATAAGTGTAAGCTCTTTTAGATGGAATCACTAAAATAGCTGAAACAGCAAAATTCATCTTCATTGTATCAAAACGAGACGTATGAGAAGTGCGCAAAAAATGACGCAGTTTTAGGCAAGACAGCAGTAAGTGGCAATATTCCTCCAGAGAGCTGATGTAAACTGTACTTTCAAGTAAAGTGCCGCCCTCTTCTGCGAATTTCTAACTTGAAAATGTGGTTTTTGTGTGTCCCAAACGCAACCACGAAAGCATGCAGAAGATGACACTTACGGCTGTCTTGCCTACGAATAGCGGCCCTAGCATAAAAATAAAAAATTCCCTTTTTATGTAATTGAAATAAAATCAGTCGATTATTAATCATCCAAACGATTTCTAGGAGTCTTTAGGACGATTAGTGGCAATTTGACAAAGAACAGAGGCTTCTTTCAATAAAATTTTCCGGTCAGAAGCTTCTGAGCCCGTTTTCTCAAAACTTCATTTTGGCACTTACTGCTCTCCTCGCTATCACGGCAGAGTTAGTGCCAATTCCGACGAACACTGTATGTATGCAGATTTCATTTCAACTCCTAAAGTCCTGAATGCAACTATTCGAACTCTATGGATGACCGTGTTGCATACGCTCGGAAGCGAAGGCGTTTTGACAGTCCGGGCACGCCACTTCACCTGCGCTGCGGCCCACGGCACGGCGTGGCGCCAATAACGATTGGCATTACTGCGGGAATCAAAAAAGGCAGAGCGCTTTAAAGTATTTGTTAAACTTGCTGAAATCGCCAGTGGATTCCACAAACTAGAGTGAAAATTCGTGGATCGAATGGATCGTATTCGATACATCAAAAACGTGTGATCGTATCGACATCGATGGGTTCAACATGTAGACATAGCCTCAAAAGTCGATTGAGTAATCTGAGGAAACGGGTCTCTTCGGATAGGTTTTTGATTCTTATGAGTAAAAAATGGCAGAGCAAAGTGGAATTGTCATGAGTTTTCTCATTTTCAGTTATTCAAACTAAAATCTTAACCAGTGGCGTGGCGTGCTTTGGGATACATCGATTGATATGTCATTTAAACCTATGGAAAAGGATCGATAAACAGGGTGTTCACAGCGAACACCTTAATGATCGATTCTTTACCACAGCTTCAAATGGGGAAATATCGATAATCGATCATTCACGCCTCACCACTGATCTTAACATTTTGTGTTTGAGGTTGCGTCCAATTGTTTTGGACCAAACGTTACACCGAACCTCTATCGAATACGATTCTAGACTGCCGTGCTAAAGAAGAACACCGTATAAACATTCGAGAGTTGCCAAAATTCCTTCGATTAAATGTTCGTTTTTGCGGAAAATTGTGCATATTTTACCTTGAAATTTTCAAATGTTCTAAAGGAGATTTTGAACCGGACTGTCCGAAAAATTAGATGAAAAATATTCAGAATTTTCCAAGTAAATTCGCGTTTTATCAAAGGAAATTCGGGAAGGCCTGAAGGTTCATACGGAGTTTTTCCCTAGCACGACAGTATGGCACGGTCTTTACTGCCATGCTAAGGAAAAACGCTGTATGAACATTCAAGAGTTGCCAAATTCCCCCGGAAAGAACATGTATTTTCGAGGAAAGTTATGCATATTTTTCTTTGAAATTTTCAGATATTTTCGATCAAATTCCGGACAAAATCGTCTGAAAATTTTGGAGAATAACATTCACAATTTTTATATCGAAGGAAGTATGACAACGCCTGAAGGTTCATACGGCGCTCTTCCTTAGCACGGCAGTATATGTATAAATCATCGTACTGAAAAAAATGTCGGTGTATTTACTAATGAAAGGCTATAATTACCAAGAATTCAGGGTTCTATTTGATCCCAGTTTCTTCTTGGTAAAATTACCATTTATGGAATTAGTAATTTTACCGAGAAATCTCGGTAAAATTATTGACTTTCTCGGTAATTTTACTGGACCCCGGTGAAAACGTCAATATTTTTTATCGACTGTGGTAGAATTACCGAGATAAAATGGCAAAGTTACCGGGAATTGATTACCAATAAAAGTGGTATTCTTACCTGAAAAAAAAACCAGTAAAAATACCGGTTTTTAGGTAAGCTTACCAGTCTGTCTTGGTAAAATTACCAATAATTGGTAAAAAAGTGAGATGGTAAAGGTACCAACGGACCTTGGTAAAAACGCCGGGAATTTTTTTTCAGTGCGTCCTCACAGTTCGCAGGACTTTTTACTTCAGCGTATTATATGTACAGTGTCTACGCGTCTTTCCTTTCAAGAGAGATGAGATACCCCGAAGTTTTGGCGTCTGAAAACTTGGAGGAGGAGAAGATGGGAAACAAATAATAATTCGAAAGTCTTATATATAAGTAGAGTTAATCTGATTACGGTGGCAATTCTTCGACCGGTCTTTAATTCCTCGCGTCCGCATCGTGGTTCTATTGTTGATCGTATTTCTCGTGTGCAAACAACTAGACTAGTTGGATCAACGCCCCGAGAACTGTTGCCATCGTTCCTGAAAAAGTGTTGCTCCTAGAGTCCCTTTATACTGAGAGTCAAGACAATGTGAATCAATTTCTGATTGGTTCCCGTATTTTAGGCCTCCACAGTGTCACAAACGGGAATAAAGATTACATTTTCACCGCGATTGCAAAGATTATAATCTAGAATGGACCGGGGAATTACGGGTTCGGCAAGGAACAAACGGAATGAGAGAAGGAACGGAGAAAGGAATTTGAGAATGGGCCGATCAAAGATTACAAAAAACGTTCAATTTCTGTGATCTTTATCCCCATTTGTCACTCCATGAGGGGGTGTTGTCTTGACTCTCAGTATAAAGGGACTCTAGTTGCTCCTACACTGCCATGCTAAGGCAAAACGCCGCATGAACCTTCAGGCGTTGCCAAATTTCCTCTCCTATAACGCGAATTTCCTGGTAAATTTATGAATATTTTCCTCCCAATTTTTCAGATAATTTAGTTCACAATTTTGCGCAAAGATTCTGAGAATTTTTTTAATTATTATTATTTTTTTTATTTTTCAGAATATGATACAACCACTTTTTACAAAGTGTTAATTATCTTCTTTTTACAAATATAATAACTTATAAATTGACTAACGTCTAATTTTAATTTTTAGCTCTAACTTATATAACCCATTCACGCACAACACCCAGACCCCAGATTACATGCAATAACGTCTTAAAAGAGAATTTATAGGACAAATATTCATAACTTTCCTCGAAAATAAACATTTTATCCGAGGAAATACGGCAAGTCTCCAATTTCCACACGGCGTTCTTCCTTAGCACGGCAGAGCTGCTTTGTTGCGTATTTGAGACCCCCATCTAAGGCATGGAGGCTGATTCGCCTTCATCTTGTCGAATAGGCAAAAATTGCTCCTGTGCGTTGAGATAATTGCTCACCTGCTCAAAATGAAGGCATACTGATTTTTCCGTTCTCGAGAACTCATATCATACCTACAACGTGATTCGCCTGCATTCTCCTGAGCAGGCAAAGTATGCACCTGCGCGTCGAAATAGTCTCATCCTCAGAGAATATTGCCACGGAGGCCGAAAATGCACTATAATGACCGGAACAGCGGTCTTTCAACGAAGATGACTCTCTGTATCTCGAAGAGCCTCTCCCAAGTAGCACAGATTGCAATATGGGGCAACTACATGGTAAAATTTTTGCAATTCCCCTGAGTGTTGTGTATTTTGCCTAGCTCCTATTTGAAGGGGCCTCATGTATTGAAACTTACTGCGATAAAATTGAAACAAGTTGGGATTTTTCATTGCATTGCATATTGCCTATCTTTCTGACACATGAGGCTTCTTTTTGGTTCTTTAAAATTGGCATAAATCGACTAATGGATGTAAAAATACAGCAATTTAACGGTAAAAAAATTGCAAATTTTCTTGAAATCATGATCGATTTAATTTCAATATTTTCGTTGCATTGTGCTACTTGAGCTGTGGGGAG